GGCTCCGTGCTGCACTCTGGGCACGGCAGCTGGGGCTGGCAGGAGGGCACGGATGTGTGTGGAAAGGCAGGGAGCAGCCAGGGAGACATCCAGCCTGGCATGGGCACAGCGGCACTGCGTGCCCTCGAGGGATGCAGGGACCCACACCAGAGGGCTTTGGGTGCAGGGACCCACACCGGAGGGGTTTGGATGCAGGGACCCAAACTGGAGGGGTTTGGATGCAGGGACCCAAACCGGAGGGGTCTGGATGCAGGGACCCAAACTGGAGGGGTTTGGATGCAGGGATCCAAACCTGAGGGGTTTGAGCGCCTGCTCGGAGGGTGTCGGGCCAGGACTGCGGGACGGGCAGAGCGGGAGAAAACAGAAGAAACACCGTGAGCTGCCCCCAGGGGGGACAGAAACACCGTGAGCTGCCCCCAGGGGGACAGAAAGGCCGTGAGCCGGTGGCTGCCACGCGCCAGGGATGGCACTGGAGCGGAGCAGAGACGGATGAGTCAGAGGATTCGGGCACAATGGGAAGCGCGGGCTCAGCACGGCCGGGGACACGCAGGGACAGGGACATGCCGGGATGGGGCCTCAAGGCTGCCAGCGCTGTATCACCCTGAGCAAAGCCTCCTCCAGAGGGGAAAACGTGGCTTTTTTCCGCTCCCTGGTCACAGGGAGAGGAAGGAAATGGGTGAACTCACAGCAGCGTGCATGGAAAGGGCTCTGCCACGCGTCCTCCCCGCCCTGCTGGACACGGCGACACGGGGACACGGGGCTGTCCTGCACTTCCCCTGGCGCTGGCAGGGTACCAGGGACCACAGCCCAGCCTGGCTGCTTCCCCGGGCACCCCCACTTCCCTCCTGCCTTCTCACTTCCACAGCACTCCCTGTTTTATAGCTTTCCTTTTTTTTATAAACCCGCAAAAAAGCAAACCCAGGAGCACAAGAGGATTAAGGAACAGGCACACCAAAGCAGGAGCCCTGTTTCACCTCCTGATCCCAGTCACCCCATAAGCCCTCAGCTGCTCCCACATTCCTCAGGGGAATGGGGAGGGCAGGAATAACTGGCACAGGATAATTACAGGGCTGAAGATGGAGGTGCTGCCTGGGCATGAGGTTCCAAAGCTCTCACGGATGGGATAAACCTCCCATGGCAAACCCGGGCTGGACCCAGACAACATCCCACAGGGGAATTTGGGAAACATCCTTCGAAAATGTTTCCGCAGGCCAAAATAGTTTGACAGAATTTCAGCCACCCCTTTCTCTGCTCCTTGTCACCTTTCTTCCACTTCACACGGGGTGGGTGCTGGGAGAAGCTGATCCTCAGAAGAAGACACTAAACTTGGACACAAACATGGGCCACCATCACCCTGGAGGTCCTGGTCACTCCCTGGGGGCTGGAAACCACAGCCCTGACTGCCCAGGGGTGCAGGAACAGGAGCTCCAGGGCCCCTGTGCTGCACAAACCTCATGGTTTGCATGGCCTCAGAAAAGAAACTCTCTTTTTTTTTGTTTCAGGATGTGAAAGGAGATCACAAGACTGTGGTCCCATGGCTTCCCCACCTCTGGATGACAGGACACTGCACCAGCAGCAAGCAGATCAATCTGACACCATTGCAGGAGGGGAAGGCTGGGATCCCTCTCCTGGCATCCCACACACCCTAGAGGCACTCGTGGGGCAGTGCTGGGCCAAGGAGCCACATGCACACCACCACTGTCACCAAGGAGTGACCCCATCCCCAGCCTGGGCTGCTAAAACACCTGGGGTTGGAAATCACGAAATTCCTGCATGGTTTGGGGTGGAAGGGACCTCAAAGCTCATCTTGTTCTACTCCCTGCCATGGGCAGGGCACCTTCCACCATCCCAGCTTGCTCCAAGCCCTGTCCAACCTGGCCTTGGACACCTCCAGGGATCCAGGGGCAGCCACAGCTGCTCTGGGCACCTGTGCCAGGGCCTCCCCACCCTCACTGCCAAAAATTTCTTCCCAGTATCCAGACTAACCCTGGCCTCTGGCAGGGGGAAGCCATTCCCCTGCTCCAGGCCCTCCATGCACTGCCCACCTCCCAGGGCCCCATGAGGTGGGGGGCAGGTGCAGCAGGGATGGGAGAGCCCCCAGATGTGACCTCCTGTCACTGAGCTGCTGAGTGATTGTCACCCTGCCGTTGTCACTGTGCCGTTTGCTCCTTGGCTGGGGCTCAGGAAGTGGCACAACAGCAGCAGCAGCCACACAATCAACCCAAGGCACCGTTTAACGGACTGGGAGCCCACTGCAACCGGGGGGAGCAGAGCCACAGCAATAAAAACCCTTTTCCTTAATGCTGCAGGCAAGAAGTGGCATTTCCTAAGAGGAGAATCCATCTGTCCAGGCCTACAGGGCACAGCAAACGATTACACAGCTGGGGAGAACACTTTCCCAAGCAAAGCCACCAGCCGTGAGGGATGAGTGGGAGCAGTCCTGGCCTCACACAGTCCCAGGGGCTCTGCAGCAGCACCAGGAATCACCCATGGATGGCCAGAGTTGGACACCAGCACTCCTCCTGGCAGCTCCCCTGCACCTCCTGCTTGTCCTAGAAAAGGGAAAAATACCCAAGGAGCACCGAGGGTGCTGCAGTCTGTGCCTGATACCATGACAAGAAGCCATCAGTGACTGATGTGGCTGGTGCTGAGCTGGCACTGCACACCGTGCTCCCTCCAAGTGGAGCTGGAACAGCTCCCCTGGCTGCCACAGCCAGCAGTGAGCAGCCCAGCAGAGCCCCAGAGGCACCACTGGGTGGTGGCACTGCCACTGCTGGCACCAGAGGGACAGGGCAGGGCAGGGCAGGCTCCAGGGCTGGGGGCTGAGCCAGCACAGGAGCTCTCCCAGGAAAATCACGCGTGACCTCTGCACCACAGCCCACACAGTTTCCCATGGCCGGGGCTGCTGTTGAAACCATGCCAGGAAATGATCCACAATTTAAGCATGACTTCAGGCAAACGCCTCAAACTCCCAAATGTCCCTGCCTGACACTAAAGCAGCTCCCACAGCAGCAGCAGCAGCAGCACAGGGAGGTTTCCTGCTCTCTCTTGTGAGGACAAAGCTCAGCAAGGTGAGGCACAGGGTGGGTACCCAGCTGGATGTGGTGGATTTGGTGCTGCTGGCTCCCACCACAGCCAGCCTGGAGGCAGAGCCCAGGGATGAGCTCTCTTACATGGAGAGCTGGGACAGATTTGGGCTGGCATGGCAGGAGGGACTGCCAGGGACAGGAATTGTCCTGAGCACCTGCTGTGCCCCAGAGGCCAGGCAGAGCCCGACTCTGTCACAACCAGACTTCTCCAAAGAACCCCTGAGTTCCATGGAAGTGGCACCAAAACTCTCCAAGGAATTAGGACAAGTCCAACTGGGACAAACAGGACAGGTGAGAGAACAGAGAGGCTGGCAAGAGGCAGGATCAGCACCTCCCTCACACCCTGTTTTCCATGAGAGCTCCACACCCTCTCCTAGCTCAGAGCAGGCAGCCATCAGCCCCTCAGCCGCGATGGAGCTGAGCCCCAGCAGGATCTCATCCCCTCTCCCAAAGCCCTTTTTGCTCCCCAAAAGCAGCCGTTCCACGTGGTGGCTCTGGGGACAGGGCCCCGCCCTGCTGCCCTGGTTAGCAGCAGTTTCCTCTCCCAGCTGCAGAGCAGCAGCACCAGCTGGGTTTTACACCCCCCTTGCCGGGTGCAGGCAGTGACAGGAGGTGACGCAGGGGGTGACACGACCCAGCCCCCTCCCACAAGGCCCCTGTCACTCAGGGACAGTCACAACCTGAGTGACACAGGCCCAAAGCTGAGGGCACAGCAGAGCAGCAGCCAGCAGGGAAGAAAAAGCACAACTTCTTCCCTTTTTCTTCTGAAGAAGAGATCGGAGCCCTGTGCAAAAGGAAGTGCTGATACCACACATCCTGCAGATGAAACACAGCTATTCCATCAGCTGCAAACCCTTGGGAAAAGCTGCTCCCCTCTGCACAACCCCCAGCACGGAGCAGGGTGCCAGAGTGTCCCAGTGTGACATCATCCCCAGCACTGCTGGGATTTGGGCATCTTTTCCTCATTTTTCTGCAATAAGAGCTTCCACTTGGGAAGCCACGTTGGTGTAAACATTCCAGTAAATCCCTTCCTGCAGGCCACTGGGTAATTAAGGAGCTCTTTTCATAACAAGGTAACAAATAACACGTGTGGTTTGACAAATTAAGTTCTCGTGTTCGCTAATCATGGCTCGGCAAGCCAGGACAGTGGTTTAGGATGTGGGAAGTTTGCAAGGAATTCTCTTACTGGAGATAAAGGGAGCCTGAACTCAGGGCAGGTGCAGGAAACTCCTGGGAGCCTGCAAACAAAACCAGTTTCTTACAGAAAACTCAGCCACAGTAACTTGTGCCTCTGTCACAGACCCAACTTCCACAGCTGCTTCCACCACAGAAAAATGAGAATTCCTGCAAAATTCCTCCTCTAAGCCACCACTGAGCTCCAAGAGGCAGAAACACCGAGAGCCACAAGGAACCTGCTCATCAGAATAACCTGAAGGTGTCAAACTTGAACACTGCAGATCCTTGCACCGGAAAAGCACAGGTGAAAACAAAAGGCAGAACAATTTTGCACACGTGTGTTTTATCTGTGCAGGAACCACCACCACGACAGCCCCGGCACCTGGAACGAGCCTCCCAGGAGGGAACGACACAGGAAGCACAGGATGAATGAACAACCCACATCTGAAACCCAACTCCCGTGCCCAAGTTTTATTGACCGGCCGTTCGAGCCACTCCCATTTTCCCCTCTCGGCGGTGCCCTCGGAGGGGCTCGGTGAGCGCTCGGCAGCGCCGCTCCCACAGCAGAGGCACCGGCACAGCCCCCGCGGCGCCCTCGGAGGGGCTCGGTGAGCAGAGGCACCGGCACAGCCCCCGCAGTGCCCTCGGAGGGGCTCGGTGAGCAGAGGCACCGGCGCAGCCCCCGCGGTGCCCTCGGAGGGGCTCGGTGAGCAGAGGCACCGGCACAGCCCCCGCGCCGCTGGCCCGGCTCCATTCCCCGCCTCCCCGGGCCGCAGACACGGGCAGCCCGCAGCTGTCCGGCCGGAAGGCGCTGTCAGCCACCTCGGCTGCCGAGTGGGCCAGCCAGAAGCTGCTCCGTGCAGAGGAGTCACAAGCACAGCGCAGACAGTCCCTCTGTGGTGTTATCCCATCCCCGCTGCTCCAGAGCTCTGCCAGGGAACCCATCCTGTGCTCAAAGATCTCACGATGGGAAATTCTGTCAAGAGATTTTCACAAAGATGACAGATTTGTAAGCGGCCTGGTTTTGTTCAAGAGCTGAGCCTGCACGTTGTGTAGCCCAATATGCAAAATATTTTCTTCACGCTTCATCAGTTAACCCCAACACGATCAAAGCAATCCTGGCAGCTGCTGGGCATCACATCTAGAGCCTGGTTTGGGGAGAGGGTGGCACAGCAGAGCCCACAGTGCCGAAAGCAGCACCAGGCATTTTATTTTTATTACTTTGGAGCCTCTAAACTCCAGTTTGGAGATCCCACCCCACCAGTGCATGGAAGCAGGAGACACGTGAAGCTCAAAGGTAGAGCTGAAGAGGAGGGCTGGCACCTGGAGCACCAGGTTTGGGAACAAAGCAGCTCCTTTGTACAGCAGGGCTGTGGCTCCACAGGGTCCCAGATTTCACAGTCAGACTGGAGCTCCACCTCTGGAGTGCTCACACTGTGCCAAGAAAACAGCAGCTCTGGGAATTGCTGGCAGCAGTTGCTGTGCTGGTGCCATGAACCATGCCAGTGCAGGGTGTCCCTGCCCATGGCAGGGGGTGGAATGAGAGGAGCTTTGAGGTCCTTTCCCAACAACCCAAAGCATCCTGGACTCTGTGCACCTACCACCTGCTTCCTGTGGATGCTCACGATGTGGATGTCCTCGCTCCGATACTCCTCGTCGTGCCTCTCCAGGGGAATCTTCTCCAGCTCAAAGTCCCTCTGGAGCAGCTGTCCCACAAAGAGCAGTTCCACAAAGAGCAGTTCCACAACCATTCCAGACATTCCCCACCATGCAGCACCTCACCCTCACTCAAACTGCTCCAGCACTAACTTGAAGCTACAGACATCTGCAATACTCCAGAAAATTCTATTTAAGCTTGTGGTAAAACACTCCTGGAGGGATTAAAGAGATGTGTGGATGTGGCACTTGGGGACATGGCTTAGTGGCAGTGCCTGAGGGATGGTTGAACTTGATGATCTCGGAGGACTCTTCCAGCCTAAACGATTCTGTGAGTCTGTGATTTTGCTTCAATCCCTAAAATGCTAAGCCAAACCACAGCACCTGCCTGTCTGCCAACCCCCTCAACTGAAACAGAGAGGAGAGAAAAAAACCAGACTAAAATCCCCCAGCATCAGCTCTGGGCCGTGCTCAGATTGCCTGGGCTGAACCTGGCAAGGAAGGAAATAAATCACACACAAAAAAAGCAGAAATCAGCCAGAAACACCAAGACCTGTTGAGTTTATTGTGGGAGCAGCACCTCAGCAGAGCCGAGCACAGCCCTCCTCACTGCCAGGAGTGTGAGGCACTAATTATCAAACAGCTGCTTTGATTAACACCAATTCCCTGGAATTCTCAGCCTTTTCATTTCCTTTTTTGCAATACGACAGGTATTATATATATATAACCCTGCACAAGAGCTGCTTCTCAGCAGTCACCACAGGTGCAGAGTTAAATCTGCACTGACCATTATCTCCCCACAGGTGTTCCCTGGGTTGCTTTTCCTCCCCTGCACACAAGACACAGCTGGAACATTCAATTAAAACACTTATTGTTTTAATTAATGGGCTCTCATTAGAGAGAAGGAATTTTTTCAGAAGCACCTCTATCACTCAGGAGAGAGTTTTGAGCTCCAGAGCAAAACTTTGTATTTTCCCTCTACTTTCAATGAAGCAGCCTAAAAGAAAATATGCTTAAAACTCACTTACTTCAAAGTATTTTCTCTCAATTTCAGGGTTCTTCCCCATAGTCCTCTGTTCATAGCAGCACAGGACACAAGTGTCAGGGCCTGTCAGGTCCTTCAGGGTCTTCAGCAAGGGCTCCAAGGACTGCCCAGAAAAGGTTAAACATTTTCCACGTGGATTTCAAGTTCATTTCACTGGTTGCAATACCCTCTAGCTAAAGTCTTCACCCAAGGGAGAACCTCCCAGTTTCACTTTTCTGCTAGTTATTTTTAGTGCTTTAACTGGGACAAGAAGAATATGGGGAAAAAGCTGGGAAGCAGAGGAGAAAAGGGGACTCACAGGAGAAGAACTTCCCAGACTGACCAAGAAAACTGAACTGGAATCCAAGCCAGAAACAGCCCACAGTGCTGAGTGGGCACTTCCTTGAGGCACACAACAATGAGTACTCCTCAGTGTGCTTCAGAAGTGAGAGTTTTCTCCATTATTCCTGGAGGATGGCTCAGATCCAGACCACAGTGGAGGGAAATGGGACCAACAGGCAGGGACTCAATGCCAGGGGCTGGTAAAGCCATTGGAAGGGCACTGGGACATGGGGTTTTTCAGGTTATTTCCCTTTTCCTGCAGCTTCCCTCAGCTCTCTGTGCACATCCTGCAAGCTCCAGCTGAGAACACACGAGGCAGACTGCAACAACCACTCAGCTGTGGCAGGATTTCTCCTCCTGCCTTCCCAAGGAAAGGGTGAGGAGAACCCCAACATCAGACTTAGCACTTTTACATTTCATTTACCAATGAGTTCACATTTTGCTTTACCATCCCCAATGTTAAAAAAAAAAGGGGAGGGGGAGGGCACAAACAATTTGGGATTTTTAACATAAAAATAGTCCCTGGTTCTATGTCAAATGGCCTTACATCTATTAAAATGTATTGTCCAGTCTTGTTCTACCTGTTTCTATAAACCACAGGGACCATGACATGAGCACAATATTTATCTGAACACTTCTCATAGTAAAGACACTGATCCCACCCCCTTCCCAAGAAACCTTTCTGTAGGGGCTTAGCAAAGTCCTCATTTACCTCCTCATAGTAAATGCAATCAGCCATGAGTATATAATCAGGGGGAGGCTGAAATTCTGTTACATCTTCACCCCTAAAAAAATAAAGAAGAAAAAACCAACAAGAAGTGAAAAGAAGTTTTAGTAAAAACACATAGTAAAGGACTCAGCACAAAGTTAACTACTGTGTTCTCATATTAAGTTTCCCTCTCACAGCGGGAGGGGAATTTAATGAAGGCAGTGCAGAATCCCAGAATGGTTTGGGCGGGAAGGGAACTTCAATCCCATCCCATTTCTTCCCCTGCCACGGTAGGGACACCTTCCACCATCCCAGGCTGCTCCAAGTCCTGTCCAACCTGGCCTTGGACACTTCCAGGGGCAGCCACAGCTTCTCTGGGCACCCTGTGCCAGGACCATCCCACCCTCACAGCCAGGAATTCCCAATTCCCTGTATCCCATCCAAACCGACTCTTTTTCAACCTGAACCCAGAATCCCCGTTAAAGCTGAACAGAGACATTAAATAAAGGCTCATACAAACCATTTCAGTACCTTGGCTCGGACGGACCCTGTGACCAGGTGCTTGTTATTCTCAATATTAACCATCAACAGCTCCTGCAGCTCCTCCAGGTCTGTGACCGTCACGTTCGCCCTGTAACACACACACGTGGTTAGGGAGTAACGCCATGGCAGGGGACACTCCGCACAGCACAGAAAACAGGGTTTAAAGGAATCGAAAGGCTCTGAGGGAGCAGACAGCGCCGGGCAGGGAATCCGCTCACCCCAGCGTGGCTGCCATGATGCCGACGGCGCCGGTGCCCGCGCCCAGCTCCAGGACGTGGCGACGGGCGAGGGGGCAGGCGCCGGTCTCCAGGAACTTGGCGAGCACCAGCGCGGCGTCCCACACCACACAGCCCACGCCGCCGGCCGCCCGCTGCTCCAGCCGCAGCGCCGGCCCGGCCCGCCGCTCCAGCTCCCTCACGAAGCCCGCCATGGCCGCGGCTCTGAGGCGGCGCGGCCCCGCCCCGCCAGGAAATGGCGGGCGGGCCCTGAGGGGACGGCGCTGCCCGCCCGCTCTGGGCGGCGGGAGAGGCTGTGAGGTGTGGGCATGGAGGCTTTTCCAGCCGGAATAATTCCAAGATTTCGGCAGCCGTGTCCAGCCGGAATAATTCCAGGATTTCGGCAGCCGTGTCCAGCCGGAATGGATTCCAGAATTCCGGCAGCCGCGGCCCTGAGGGAGCGCGGAGCCCTCAGGAGCCGCTCCCTCATCCCTCCTGAGGCGCTCCAGCCTGAGCCCTCCTGAAGGTTTTGTCACAAACCGCCCTCACACAACTTACAAAAACTCTTACACACCTACAAAAAAGGTCTTAATAAACTTACAAAAAAGTTTTAATAATCCTAGAAAAGTCTTAGTTAAGTCTATTAAAAAGGTCTTATTAAACGTACAAAAAGGCTTTAATAAACTTAAAAAAGGTCTTAATAAATGTACAAAAAGGTCTTAGTAAACCTACGAAAAGGTTAATAAACCTATGAAAAATGTCTTCATAAACCTATGGAAAAGATTTTAATAAACTTACAGAAAAGGACTTAGCCTACAAAAAGGCCTTAACAAACCTGCAAAAAGGTTTTAATAAACTCATAAAAAAGGTTTTAATCAAGCAACTGAATATGAGTTGATTCTGCGTCGACATCTTGAAATGCAAAGGTTTTTGATTTTTCCCCCCTTGGATATGTGGAAGAAAGTTTTCTTACTTTATTTCTTCATTTCTTTTAGAGCAATGGGAGGCCTCTTGGTGGTCGGCAGATTCCCCTTGGGAAGAAGTTTTCTGAGGGAATTGCCTTTTCCCACAGGAGCCAACTTCAAACCCAAACTTCACATTTTTCCCTTCCAGCAGTTTTTTTGTTGTTCTTTTTACCTAGCCCTCTAATTATGAAGTAACTGAAATGGTATTTATTGCTCTCTTGAACCATGCTGGTGGGAATCTCACTGCCTTTGACCACTTTCCATGGCCATATTATGATATATTTTACTGTGGAATATTCAAAATGGTTCTGACATAAGCACTTCTACAGGAAGGCATAAAGCTGACATCTGTATTTTCTAAAATGTGGCAGAGAATTTTTTCCTCTTCAACAACACAGAGAAGTCTGAAAAAATATTATTCCTTGTTAAGCAATAGCTGCTGGTGGGGAGTTCAAAAGAGTCAATGCAAATAATCTAAGAAAGAATTCCACTTTTCCAAGTCATCCTCCATTTCCTACCTGCACTTCCAGTCTGTGCATCACAAATTTGGGACTTCTTGAACCTTATTTTAGCAAAATGAAGCAGCTCTCCTGTAAAAAGTGTGAATGGATTCCAACCCTCTCTTCTTTCTCAGGGAAGGAGCACAGAGGAGTCAGACAGTAAAGAAAAAAGACAGAAAGATAGAAAAATACATCTGAAATTGGGAGGAGGAGAAAACTGGGGGATCTTGGTATGATCCTGTACAGGGCCAGGAGTTGGACTCCTGATGGATCCCTTCCAACTCAGGGGATTTCTAATTAACATCCCTCTTCAGTCCTATCTCCTTTCCAAAAAGGAGAATTTTCCAAAGGGAATGCCCAAGACAATGGGAGCAGCTTAGGCAGACTGATGAGAAGCTGGAGTGTGATTTGGAAGCCTGGGATGAGCCAAAGTGAGACCAGCAGCATGGAAAATTGGGCCATTTTGTACTGGCAAAAATGCAATTCCCAACCTTGTCCTTGCAAGGAACACGCACTGCTCAAGCTCTTAAAAATTAAGACTGGGGTGATTTATTAATCTTGTTAAGAACTCTGATACAAAGCACAGTAAAAGGCCACAAACCAGTAAATAAAATGTGAAGGCCACTTTATAAATGCTGCTACAGAACTACCAGTAAAACAGACTCACTCTCACACCAGTTCAAACACGGCCGTTTGACTGGCAAAGAAAAGTTCCATTCACTTATCAGTTTAAAAAGTTTAATAAAGCTTTAAGTGTTTGCTGGTTTAAATGCTACCAATTTCCAAAGTGGATTCACAAGTTAAGTGTAATCTAGAGGGAGTTATTAGGTCTGGAAGGCAGGACTGTTCCCAAGCCAGAGGAAACGCTGCTGGCCGGATCCAATCCCAGGAGTAGCAGACTGTGTTATAGGCCTCGAAGTCAACTTCAATTTGTACAGGTCATTAGCATATCTGGAAATATACAATATAAACAATTGTACAGGCGCATAGCTTTGTTCTCCACAACAGCAGACAAACTCTTTAGCTTAAGACACCTTTGCCTATCAAAACAAAAAAGGCACATCTGAACAGGATGCACGCGAAGTACTCGGGATCCTCCCCGACATCCGAGACGGGTACTCCTCCTTCATCCTTTCTCCAAAGAACCAAGACCAAAAGAATATTTTGGTATTTAGATTTCAACCTATTTTCTTTTCTTTGTCTTCAGCAGCAAATCAATGGCAATTAAGACATGGCATGAGAATATTCCAGAACAGGAGCTGTCACTCAGGAACCTCAAGGCAAGTGGTCAGAGGTTTCAAACCTGTGACGCTCTGGGATCCTTGTGTTGTTTGATCATCCCATTGCTGGGTGTCCTTAATTTTAAAAAAAGGCCACTAGTGCTCAAATTTGAAAAAAAATTCCACAGACGCACCTTTGTTTTTTGGCTCAGTGCAATTAAATGATGTCAGTTTAAATTCACTTAGTGTAGTTTACAGTGCAAAAGGTCTGTTTTGTGTCCTGGCAGAACGGTCGGCACTGAGGATGTGAACCAAGGCAATGCTGCTGCTCACCTGAGGGTAATGCTGTCCAACCACACAGGCTGGAATGTGTGTAGTCTGAATTTTTTCCAATTTAAACCTTTTTTTTTTTTTTTTTGATCAGCAGCACTTTAAGAGCATAATTTGTGAAAATACTAAAATACACTGCCTTTTTTTTTTCGAATAAATTAAAAAAAAAAAAAAAAAAGAGGAACTTTACAAACAGTATTCCAGTGTCAATGACTACTATGGCTAAGGTCATTGAGGAGTTTCTGCATTTTCTAGCAAAGACAGTCTGTGCAAAGGAGGGTGGGAGAGCTCCCTTTTGTAAGTCTTTGGCGGCAGTTTGGGCAGCTGGGGGCTGGAGTTGTGCCGGGGCGGCACGGGGGGCACAGGCGGCTGGGCCAGGTTGTTGTGGCTGGCGCTGAGGACGCAGCAGCGGCGCAGCACCCGCGGGGAGGGGGTGCTGGGAGGGGTGCCCGGGGAGCTGGGGCCGGAGCCGGCCTCCCGCAGCCACTCGGGCTCCCGGGGGAAGCGGCCCAGCGGCGGCGGCTGCAGGCTCAGCGGGCAGTTGATGAAGTGCTCGGGCGGCCGCAGCGGAACCGGGGGCGGGGTGTCGGGGACGGGGTCCCGCGGGGGAGGAGGAGGAGGGCTCTGCAGGGGCTGCTCCAGGGCGGCGGTGTAAGCAGGAACGCGAGGCTGGATCTTTGGAGGCGGCGGCTGCCGAGGTGGGATTGCTGGAGGATCGTCATCCGACTTGGAATTTCCCTGTGGTGTGGTGGAGAAAAGGGAGGTGTGAGAAATGGAGAGCACGGAAGGCCAGAATGGTTTGGGTTGGAAGGGAACTTAAATCCCATCCCATTCCTCCTCCTCCCATCCCATTCCTCCCCCACCTCCGACTATCCCAGGCTGCTCCAAACCCTGTCCAACCTGGCCTTGGGCACTGCCAGGGGCAGCCACAGCTTCTCTGGGCACCCTGTGCCTGGGCCTCCCCACCCTCCCAGCCAGGAATTCCCAATTCCTGACATCCCATCTAAACCTCCTCTCCTTCAGTTTAAAGCCATTTCCCTTGTCCAGATGTTTGGATAAAGAGCAGTCTCATTCAGATGAGGAATTCTCCTGACCTCTGCTAGTGGTGCTGTCAGAAGCACAGCAGCTGTGCCCTTGATGGGAATGTGAACACTCTGTTCCTGAAATTCCTAGCAGGGTTTGGACACTGGGAATCCAAAACTTAAAACCAGGAAACTGGAGCTCTGCATCTCAAAGTCTTTTAGACTGACAGAGCCCTGTTTGGATCAATGGCTGAACTTGACAATCTTCAAGGTCTTTTCCAAGAGCAATGATTCTAGATATTCCCCAGTTTATCACCACAGTTATTCCACCCAGGACAGCAATACCTTAGCATTGGAAGCATCCTGATCCATCTTTTTTCGTGGAGGAAGGGGAGGAGGGTTCTGAGGCTCATCACTCAGTTTAGGGAAGCTCCCCCAGGAGCTGAAGAAAGTCTCTGGAGAGGGAAGAGCAGATCTTTTACTCCTTGTGCAATATCTGAGGAACATATTCTGGAATATCAAGCCAAACTCAAAGCAACTCAAGTAAGATCTTTGTGCTCCACAGCAACATGAACCAGTAACTTCAGCAGCATGAAATCCTTTAATTCACTGCTTTAATCAGATCTAGGCCTCACAAAGTGTTCTCCTATGTCCAGTATCAAAAAAAGGCATCAGCAGTCTGCAGGCAATGCTGAGAGACAGGAATATAAATCCAGGCAACTCCAAGTGACTTCTTACAGAGGGAGAGAAAAAAATCCTCAAATTAAAACACAACACAACCCCTGACTTGTATTGGTGATTTCTGTCACACCTTTGTTTTCCTCTTAGGAATGCACTGAGCTCTGTGTCTACATCAGGCCTGTGCTCTCCAGCTGAAAATTAAATTACTCATATTTTAAAAAAATGTGTGTAGAATAAATAAAGAGAACAGCTGAAAACCCAGGTGAATGCAGGATATCCTTCACAGATGTAGCACAAAATGTGTCCCTTCCCAGCAACAGAGCAGTTATTTTCATTACGTGGAATTAGGAAATTATCAAGTTGCTTTATTTGTAGCTTTAGTCAAACAAAACAATCATCAAGGACATTCAAAAACAGAAGGAAAATCATGTGAGAGCCTGGAGATAAAAACCCAACCCAAACTAAACCAGCAGTTTAAGTTTTAGGCTCTACATTCT